TTAATCCCTATGCTAGAAGAAAGGAGTTTAAATGTTTTAACCTATATTTCCCATATTCGACCCCGCCCCTCTGCCCTAAGTAGGGGGGGGGGGGGCACACCCACCATTTATATAAAATTTATTTTCCTTCCAAATATGATGCTACTGTTCAAATTAGATCAAAATACTCTCATCCCCACAGAATAAGAAGGAAATTAAAGCTATTCCTCTATATCCCATAGTGGGCTCGCCTCTCTGCCCTAAGGGGGGGTCAGACACACCGTTTATACAAAATTGCTTCACCTTCACCCAAGGATGCTTCATACCAAATTTTGACAAAATCCTGTCATTCCTACAGAAGAAGAAGGATTTTAAAGAATTTGCTATGTCTCCCCTATTGGGCCCTGCTCCTCCCTTTTGCCGAGGGATGCTCCAGACCAAATTGGGATGGAATTCCTTAATCGCTATGGTAAAAGAAAGATTTTATAGGTTTTATTTCTATTTCCCCTATTGGGCCCCGCCCCTCTGCCCCGAGGAGGACCACATCCACCGTTTATACAAAATTGAGTCATCTTGGCCCAAGACTGCTCCAGACTAAATTAGAATATAATCCCTTAATCCCTACGGTAGAAGAAGGATTTTAAAGGGTATACCTCTATTTCCCCTATTGGGCCCCACCCCTCTGCCCCCAGGAGGGCCACACCCACTGTTTATACAAAATTGAGTCCCCTTGGCCCAAGGATGCTACAAAACTATATTAGGATAAATCCCTTAATTCCTACGGTAGCAGAAGGATTTGTAAGGTTTTACCTCTATTTCCCTAACTTGGCCTCGCCCCTCTGCCCCCAGGGGCGCCACACCTACCGTTTATACAAAATTGAGTCCCCTTGCTCCAGACCAAATTTAGTCAAAATCTACTTGGCCGTTCAGGACTAGTAGCGTTTTAAAGGAAAATTTGACGGACGGACGGACGACATACGCTGCGGTATGGTATAAGCTTACCATGGTCCTTCGGACCAGGTTTGCTAAAAATAGAATATACAATTTAGAACATTTGAAAATACAGATATTGTTGCCAATTGTGGTCTAGAGTATATTTTAAAATGCCAGTTGTAAAAATCTAATTTGGCAAGATGTCTTATCATATAATATAATATTATAATAAAAATAACAATAACGTTAGACTTTACCCATAAACGAGTTATATCTTTTAATAATTATTAAATATAAATATTTGTCACGTCAGCATGTTCCTCTTCTCCCTCTTATTCAAGTTCTCTTTCTCTATGTTGATTCTATTCTTCCTTTAGTTCTTCTATCTCTCGTTCTTTTCTTTCTTAAAATCAGTTCATATCACAATCATATGCAGTTACACTATTAACTACATAGAACATATTTTTTTGCTTATGTATCTTTAATATAGTGTTGAATTTTTGCTAATGACTAGAAATGGAATGAGTGTGTGTATGTGTATGGAAAAATGAATTGTAAATGTATTATGCACAGTTAAAAATCTTAAAAAATTAAAGAAATTCAAAAAAAAGCATAGGTCGAGGACACACAGACCTGGGTAGTCATTATTTTGGAGCTCTGACAAAAACTTTATTTTTATCGATGTATCGGAAACTTTCATGATCATCTTTGGCATACTATTTCATGAGTGAACTGTCACCATTTGTTCAACATAGGCTTGAGGAAAATTTGTTCTGAAATGTTGATTTTGGACATGTACATTCTGAACAATGGATTGACACCCAGCTGGTGAACACTGTTAACCCACACTATATTTACCTGGACTACACTGACTCTTTTCACTTGATACATTGTGTTACTTACCATTTAAAGGAGTGAAGTAAATATGCCTTCTTCTAGTCGTCAGAGAAGCTGTAGTATAAAATCAGGTTTAAGTGGTACCGAGAAAACCATTGATGATAGACTAGATGAAATTACGGACATTCTGGCCAATGTGGTAACAAAGCAATTTATGGAGGACAGGTACGACAGGCTGAAGGATGATATCAGAGCTGAGAATAAGCAACTTACAGATGAGCTGAAGGGGAAGATTTTTGATCTTGAGACGGAAAATGACGAACTACGCCAGACAGTTGGAAGTCTTGAGGAGCAAGTTACCGAACTTCAAAATTCTAAGGAATCCATCGAGGCTAGAAACAATGACTTGGAACAACACGGTCGGAAGAATTCTCTCAGAATTAATGGCCTAGACGATTCATCAGAGTCCGAAACCGCAGAGGATTGTGCTCAGAAAGTGATTAAGATTGTAAACTTGAAGTTCAGCTTACTAGTACGGACATTGATATAGCCCACAGACTGGGGAGATTCAACAGAGACAGGCCCAGAAATATCATCGTGAAATTTGTGCGGCCGTTTTAAAAGAAACGAAGTGATAAAGGTTTGGTCAAAGCTGTAAAAACTGGGTTTAACATTTTTAAGGATCTTACGAAGACCTTCCAACGTATACTCACGGATGCATACAAACTCTCCTGTGTTAAAAACTCTTTTAGCACTGATGGTAAACTGTTTGACATTCTAATGGAAAGAAGAGAAAACTTTCATTTGGCACTCCACTCACTGAGAGTTTTTTGCTGAATGATTCCAACTTCCATATGATTTTATTATACGTGGAACATCGGTACGGAACTTGGCACGATGGTGCCGCCAGGAATGTATTTTCCTGGTTTTACCGATAGCTCATGACAGTGTTGGAATTCATTGGATAACGTATAAGTACGTGTGTGTATGTGTGTCTATTTCATAGTGTGTGGTGTATATATATGTGAATATGGGAGTTAATTATTTCCGTAACACAGGTAAGATAAAGTAATGTTTTGTCATTTTATTGCATATGATGCATTAGTACTTTAGTATGTCACATTTTTATACCAAGAAATAGGTTTAAAAAAAAGCTTTTCACAGAGTTTGTTGATTACACTTTTCCTCTACTGATTTAGTTACAGTATGTACTTCTAGATCAAGTTTCCGGTATATTGTATCCGAAATCTAATATTATACATTTTTCGGTTTATAGTTCAGATAAAAAATATATATATGATCATATGTGTCGTAGGTATTACGTCCTTCGTTTACGTAATGTTAACAAACTTGTACTGTATATATTTTGTCTTAGGTTCAGGTGTATAGACATTACTATGTACTATTTTCAGTGTTTTTACAATTTGAAATACGCTGCAATAAGGCTAAATACAGGAGATCTGGTACTGTGTGTCTTTTTATGTATAAATGTAGGTATTACTTACTTTTCCGGATTACGCCAAATCCGTCTTTTATATCTAAACGTACCGTACGACTTCCGGTGAGATAACTCCTGTCCAACAAACATTGCGGTGTACATTGTATACATATGTGAAAATGTGTAGTGTGTTGGTTAACAGTGGTCTTTAGGGTGTTGACCTCTCGTATGTATTTTATGTATCGTCTTTTTCTTGCAAGATGTCTTCTCTCTCTCTCTCTGTTTTTGGTATGGTTAAAATAGATTTTCTATTAAGATACTGTAGATAACCTTTTGATCATATCAGCAAACTGTCGCGGCATTGGAAGAAAGCAAAGCGTACTGACATTCTTTCATACTTTAGATCAATGAAATGTAACATCATATGTTTACAAGACTCACATTTTACTGATGAAAAAGAAGATATAATTAGAAGTGAGTGGGGGCTTCAGTGTTTTTTCAATTCCTATCAATCTAACTCGAGGGGTGTTGCCATCTTATTTATAAACAACTTAACATTTAAAATACTTAAAGAGAGAAAAGGACCTAGTGGTATTTTTTTAGCTGTTGAAATTGGAATCGAAAATTTAACTAGAATTATGTCAGTGTGACACTAAAGCCGCTCACCACTTTAAATTTAATTGCTTCAGTAACACGTTGAGCATCAATATCTACTATAATACCTCAGATATGTGTTCTGTATTCTCCTAATTTAAAACCAGGTCATGTGATGATGTTGCCTTTGGAATTTCCAAAATCAATCACCTCTTAAATGATGCCTTAAAAACATTTCTCCCTCTCCTCTTTTTTCACCCTCTTTTGTGACGCATTGTTGTAACTTTCATTAATTAGCATCCTCCAATGATGTAAGAAGAGCATTTACGAGCAGAATGGCAATCGGTGAATGGCCAATAAAGATTTGGTGCATTTTGTGCTTGTGAAAGGAAGGATAATTAACAGTAGTGGGAAAACATGCATGGAGAAAAGAGATCGACATTGTACTCCTTCTATTTTTATTTATTTTTTATTCATATTAATAATAATTATTAATATATGTAGTGACTTTATTTACTGTCATTGAATATACAATTCATCACAAAATCTCACAAATGTTCTTGGAATATATCTGAATTGTATTTCTCATTGCGACTTTACCAACGTAAGAGTTATTACAACGGATTGGATAATATTTTGACAAAGCGCGAATTCTTGTTAAACAGCAGCGGCAGTTGTGTCATGTTCTGAAATTGTTACATTTTCATAAATAAATACACCAGAAATAGCATGCTGTGTTACAGAAATGTTTGATAAGCATACACAGTTCACATATCGTTTCGTCCGCGGTAGCAACGATGGTTTATTACCGTTATCAACCAAAGCACGATATTACGTTCCCGTTCGAAACATCAAAATAGAGGTTATACTTCATTACTCGTATGGTTTATAAGTATATATATATAATTCTTCCTTGTACATTGTACTTACAAATATGAAAAGCTTGACCGTTTAGACAGCGTCAATGCTTGACGGTCTTCTCGAATCAGAGTCACGAAAACAAACACTCTCAAACCCAGTGCACGAATTTCACCACCACAACACTCGTAGAATGCACCAGAGATAAACATTTTGTTTTCAGCAATTATTTAAAGTATGGATTATTATTTGGAGAAGAGTATCAGAAGACTTCATGTAATCCACAGGTGAGTGTCAGAGATTCTACTTTCTATTTAGAATAACGAAACTATATAGCGGAAGCATGCAAGACTGAATTATGCGCACGCACCCCGAGCGGAAGAGGGTCCGTCATTTCGTTCTCTGGACAGAATTAATAAGCCACTCGGATCTCGCCAAGAGTGGCTAAAAAATGACACTCATTAACTTATATGGTCCAAATGAGGATATTCCTGTATTTCATAATCTTGTATCTGAAACCATTGAAGACTTCAATAATAAATATGTTATCATCTGTGGCGATTTTAACTTAGTTCTAGATCCCATTATAGATTATGATAACAGTTACAAACATATTAATAACCCTAAGGCCAGGGATAAAATTCTGGAAATCATTGACAATTTCTCTTTAATTGATATTTTTAGGGAACATCATGAGAACTTAAAAAGGTACACCTGGAGGAAAAGTAATCCAAAAGAACAGTCACGATTGTTTTCTTGTGACTGAAAACTTACTTTCAAGTACTATACAATCAAATATAGAAGCAGGATACAGATCAGACCACTCTTTTCCTTCGATTTTTCTAAAACTCACTGAATATAAAACAGGAAAAATTATTTGGAAATTCAACAATAGCCTATTACATGATCTAAAGTATCTTAATCTAGTGAAGGAATGCATTTTGGATTTAAAAAGTATATTTTGTCTCCCTGTTTATAACTTGCTAACTTATCAAACATACCAGATGCAGACCTTCAGTTTACTATTGATGATCCACTTTTTCTAGAGACCTTACTTACACACATTAGAGGTAAAATAATTTCTTACTCAGCCCACGCAAAGAAACAACAAAACTTGAATGAAAATAATCTAAGAATAGCAATTCAAAACTTGAGGAACAGGATGATATTAATGTAGTCCAATTAGACTTTAAAAAGAAAGAATTAGAAAAAATCAGAGAACATAAAATCAAAGGTAGCATAATAAGATCAGGAGCTAAATGGGTCGAAGAAGGTGAGAAGCCAACAAACTATTTTTTCAACTTAGAAAATAGATATTTTACCTCTAAAATAATTCCTAAACTGCAATTAGATGACGGTAATATAATTACAAAACAAGAAGAAATCTTAAATGAAGTTCGCATTTTTTTATGAAAAAGCTCTATAGTAATGAGAGTGAAATAGAAGATTTACATTTGAATGAATTAATTATTGTTTGTAAACTTCGTAGACAAGATGCAGAAAGATTAGAGGGTCCTAGAACACTGGAAGAAGCAGGTCAAACTTTAAAAAACATGAAAAATAACAAAAGTCCTAGCATAGATGGTTTTACAGCTGAGGTTTTTTTTAACGTTTTTGGAAATATTTGGGCAATTTTGTGGTAAGATCTATTAATTCAGGCTATTAAAGGGTGAACTGTCTATTTCTCAACGACGCGGAATTGTAACTTGCATACCAAAGGGAGATAAACCAGTCACTTCATAAAAAACTGGAGACCAATAACACTACTCACTGTTATATATATAAAAAAAAGCTTCTGGAACAATTACACACAGAATAAAAACAGTCTTAGGCAACATTATAGATAAGGTTCAGACAGGATTTCTCGCGGGGCGTTATATTGGGGAAAACACACGATTAGTTTATGACTTAATGCAATTTAGTGAAGAAATATATCCCTGGCATGCTATTGATGATAGATTTTGAAAAGGCCTTTGACTCGGTTTCGTGGGGTTTCATTGAAAAAGTTTTACAATTTTTTGGTTTTGGAATAAGTATACGAAATTCGATTAATTAAGGTATTTCATAAAAAGGTCAGTGCTGCAATCATTCAGGGGAGAAACCTGTCATCATATTTCAATGTAGATATCCCCATATGTTTGTATCCTCTGTGCAGAAATCTTAGCTCTTCGATTGCGAAATAATAAGAACATAAAAGGTATTCAAGTTAACATTTGTCCAATTCTACTCCCACAATATACAGATGGCTTTAGATGGCTCTGAAAGATCTATTAAAGAATCTGTTAATGAATTAAATTCCTATGCTACAATATCTGGTCTAAACATTAATGTATTCAAAACACATGTAGTCTGGATTGGTAGTAAAAAAAATAGTGATGACACCTTCCTCACAGAACTTAACTTGCAATGGGGCAGACACAAATTCACACTTTTAGGGATTGAGTTTCATGTTGACTTGCACGAGATACCAAAAATGAATTTCAACAAAAAATTGATAAAATTGAAGTCATTGATAAAAAAGAAGAAATTTAACTCCAATTGGTAAAATCCATATTATTAAATCACTTCTCGTTTCACAATTCAACCATCTATTTATGCACTGCCAAATTCTGATGAACTTTTTCTTTCCAAACTTAATTATATTTCTTTTGAATTTTTGTGGAACAGCAAAACAGACAAAGTCAAAAGAGAAGTTATTATCCAAGAATACCTTAAAGGTGGTTTAAAAATGATTAATTTAAAAGCATTTATAGATTCATTAAAATTATCTTGGATCAGAAGGCTTTTTCATACCATAGCCAAATGGCAAGCTATTTTAAAAAGTTACGTTAACATAGATCTACTAGCCAACTGTGGCAATGATTTTGTGCAAAAATGTCTAAAAGAGTGTAGAAATTCTTTTACCAATGAACATTGAATTATTCCTGAAAAACAGAAAAGGCTCGAAAGATTTCTATAATATGTAATACTGTACCAACAGGTTAAAAGAAGTGGAACAAAGTCTTCGACTTGAATGATTCAACATGGGCTCAAATATACAAGATTCCCTTCAGTGTTACAAAAAAACAAAAACTCTTTAAAACACATCTAGTTGTTTCTCCTCTCTGTACTGTATGTAACTCTGAAAATGAAACTATTATACATGTCCTGTGGGAATGTCAAGAAGTCCAGACTTCACTAGATAGTCTAATAGTTATACTAGATGCTCTTTTCATCCCATTTAATAACAATAAACAATCCTATATGTTTGGATTTTTATCTCAAAATTTCAATAACTGCAAAATTGATAAAGAAATTCTCCTTGATATAAAACAGAACTTTTACAAAGTGCGATGCTTTCACAACTCCCTCAACATCAATGGACTTATTAATGCATTAAAACATTTTATGACTTGCAAAACTTTATTTAACTAACAGCAATGGGGAAGCTGCCAGGAAAAAAAAGGAAAAAGATTGGAAAAGATGGGGAAAATTTACCGAGCTGTTATTTTATAGTCTAGCTCTCGTCTCTTCAATGCCGTTAAAGTGTTTGCTGATTTCTCTAAAAATTAATCAGCTGTTAATATTTACTGCTTCAATCTTGCTAATAAATTGAAATTTAGATAGGAAATAGTGCCATCTCTCTCTCCTCCCTCTACAGGCAAAATGGGTGTATGGTCTAATGATGAATGTCAGTCACGCAAAGGCTGTGTAATAGGTTTATATATATGACGTGTAGTGAGTAGGGTAGTATGAAATCTGTAAGATGAGTGTTCTGTACAATTACCCATCTTTACCTGTCATAATTTACAGACTTATATCTCATTATTAGTCATGCGTATGTGTTTGAAAATCTGAATAAAATTCTAAGTTACAAAAAAAAAAAGATGTCTTATCCAGCTGGATTAAGTTAGCTAAAAAGGTTGAACATTTGTGATATAAAAAGGAAGGTATTTTCAAAATACTTATCTGGTGCAATAATTCAGAAAAGAGGATTTTTTTTAACAGGGAATGGTTTAGAAAAGGAGTAATGATAATTTATGACTTAGCTAAAGGAAATGGTAATGATTTGTTTTACAATTCCAAAACAATTCATTAATACAGATTTTCTTTCATACCAGGGTATCATTAAATCTATAAACAAAAATCATATCACAGGAAGATATTCTTAATATGAATATATACTATCCTTATATACCTATTAAATTGTAACTATTTTTTAAATGGAAGAAAAAAGATGAGTGAACATATTTTATTTTAATGAACAAATATGGAAAACAATTACACCATTCCCTTCAAAGTTACCCGAAATACAAATTGCATTGGCTTCAGTTTAGAATTAATAATCATATCAAAACTACTAGTTCATATTTATTCAAAACAGGCCTTGTTGATTATCCTTATAGTTTTTATTGTTAAACTGAAAATGAAACAATAGTCCATGCATTATGGGAATGTGAAAAAAGTACAAATATTCTTAGCAGATTTCGAATGTATTAGATTTGCTATTAAACACCTTTGCTTTTTATAAAGAATTGTTTAACTTGGATCTCTTTAAGGGAAAACCAATGTAGATAATCTAATAATTCTAATGATAAAGCTTTATATATATATATTAGGCTAGATGTCTGCAGACTCACCTATCATTTCCAGCTCTAAAACAAATAAGTTAAGGAAATATATGATACTCAAAATATATTGCTACAGGTAAAGGTGATACTTATCTGAATAAATTTAATAATGAATGGAAAACCCGGAATAGATTATTGCATACTACATAGTAAACAATTACTCATAACATAAAATAGTATATTGTTGTAATCCCTGGTAATAATCCTTCCGTCCTACGTCTTAATTGTCTACTACCGTCGTTTTGCTAAGAAAAGGTACATCAAATTCAATTCAATGCTAAAACGTTCATTTCAAAATAACATTTTTCGGTTTTGTTTTTGTTTTATAATCATATACTATAGGTGATTTTCCTTTTGTTTGTGTTGTTGATGTATTAGAAAACAATATCAATATCGATAAGGTAATAAAGGCAAATCAATATCTGCTCCCAAGAGAAGATAACTCTGCAATACGCAAAGACGGAATAAGAGTGTAATAAAAAAAAAAAAAAATTGAGACAAAACGGCAAAATCAAGATGGCCGTCAGGCAGGCATCTTGGATTTTGAGAGTTTCAGTTTGTTTTTGCTATTTCTCAAGATGGAAACAATGACCTCACTTTGAAAGGAAATACTCAAATAGAGCTGTATGATATTTTTATAGAAAGTTACCACTACTGCATTTACTGTTGACAAGACTTTTCATCCAACAGATAAGAGAAAAGAGGAAAAAGAAAGAGAAAATTGTCAAAAATACATATAACTTAGGAAGATCTTACGATGTTGGGTGGCAAGATCCAGCTTGGATCTCTTGTATGCTTCAAATTATACATAAATGCCATCAGGTGTTGAGATACTGGTCATAGTGAACTATCCAGTTATGAGTCCTGTAGAATATTAACACAATCCATATTGAATAACAGAATAAACAGTTTACCTCAGTTCTTTGTAATTCATTAAATGTTTTGTGATATACAAACGGTAACCAGTAGTGGGTGCCTATAACAGAATGCTATGTAAACGATCTAAGTACACGACGGGAGCTAGGAATAGTCATCTATGGTAATGGTCGGTATGATAAAGCTGGGTCGTTGATCATGAATCGCCGTCTCATTTTCTAAATTCCTGAAATAGAAATAACGATAAGATGAGCAAAATATAGTGCAAAATAGAAATGGATCTAGGATTCCTGGAAAGTGGCCAGTTGGCAAACATAATTATATATGACTGGTTGGTTGTATATAGTTAAACTTCCTATCAACAGCTAATGTCATTTAAGGGCATGCCTCCATGTGTATTTTGTACGAGTGCATCTGTGTATGTATGAGGGTATGTTGGTGTAACTGCCTCCTTGTGATAGCGCGGATCTGATGCCGATCAATACTACTTCTTCAATGAAATTCCATGCCAAAGGCACAAATCACAGCATTCCGCCAGGTCAAAACTAGTTTTTGCTATTACCCAAAATGATTAACATAAAGCTTGGATTAACAACCATTTTTTAGGACTTTGGTATGTCCCAGCATTGCGATAGAGCCTATTGCCTACCTGAAATTGTCGAACGTTCAACAGCAAAGCCAAAAGTGAGGTATTGTCAAGCCAGGCAAAACGAAAGTTACTTAGAAGTAAAGAGAAATAAGAAGACCCCAAATATTGCAATTGGTGAAGCTGATTTGTTTTCGTCGCTTGTGTGTCCCCAAGTAGAGGGCACAACAGCAAATCTCTAATTCTGCAGGGGGTTTAAACATTAGTGGCCGCTTACATTGGGTGACAGGAATTGTATTCTTTTCGCAATCCCTACTTTCAAGGGTTGAATTTTACTTCAGGAATTACATTTCTTTCTGGAACGAAGTTTAGGATCGGGCTATCTGTCAAACTCTTGTCACTGTATCTCAAAGTTTCACTTTATGATGCAATTTAAATCCAACCTTGTTCACAGTTTTTAAAACTTTTGAAATACAATCTTGGTCGAATAACCTTAATATTTTCCTCGCCCATTTGTTTTTCCCTTTGTCGTTCTCAATAAGTTTCTTCCAGTTATGAATTCATCAACAAATATCCACCCGTACTATTGACTATATACGTAGTTTATATACCGGTACTATTATCTATATATATATAGTCTATATACCGGTTCTACTAACTGTATATGTAGTCTATATACCGATACTACTAACTGCATATGTAGTCTATATACCGGTACTACTATATGTATATGTAGTCTATATACCGGTAGTACTGACTATATATGTATTCTATATACCGGTACTACTAACTATATATGTAGTCGATATACCAGTACTACTGACTATATATGTATTCTATATACCTGTCCTACTAACTATATATGTATTCTATATACCGGTACTACTGACTATATATGTAGTCTATATAGCGGTACTACGTACTACTATATGTATATGTAGTCTATATACCGGTGGTACTGACTATATATGTATTCTATATACCGGTACTACTGACTATATATGTAGTCTATATAGCGGTACTACGTACTACTATATGTATATGTAGTCTATATACCGGTGGTACTGACTATATATGTATTCTATATACCGGTACTATTAACTATATATTTAGTCTATATACCGGTAGTACTGACTATATATGTATTCTATATCCCGGTACTACTCACTATATATGTATTCTATATACCGGTACTACTCACTAGATATGTATTCTATATCCCGGTACTACTCACTATATATGTATTCTATATACCGGTACTACTCACTATATATCTATTCTATATACCGGTACTACTCACTATATATGTATTCTATATACCGGTACTACTGACTATATATGTAGTCTATATACCGGTACTACTAACTGTATATGTAGTCTATATACCGACTATATATGTATTCTATATACCGGTACTACTAACTGTATATGTAGTCTATATACCGACTATATATGTATTCTATATACCGGTACTACTAACTGTATATGTAGTCTATATACCGACTATATATGTATTCTATATACCGGTACTACTAACTACATATGTAGTCTATATACCAGTACTACTGACTATATATGTATTCTATATACCTGTACTACTAACTATATATGTATTCTATATACCGGTACTACTAACTATAGATGTATTCTATATACCGGTACTATTAACTATATATTTAGTCTATATACCGGTACTACTGACTATATATGTATTCTATATGTAGTCTATATACCGGTACTACTGACTATATATGTATTCTATATGTAGTCTATATACCGGTACTACTGACTATATATGTAGTCTATATACCGGTACTACTAACTATATATGTAGGCTATATACCAGTACTACTGACTATATATGTATTCTATATCCCGGTACTACTAACTATATATGTATTCTATATACCGGTACTACTAACTATATATGTAGGCTATATACCAGTACTACTGACTATATATGTATTCTATATACCGGTACTACTAACTATATATGTAGTCTATATACCAGTACTACTGACTATATATGTATTCTATATACCGGTACTACTAACTATATATGTATTCTATATACCGGTACTACTGACTATATATGTAGTCTATATACCGGTACTACTAACTATATATGTATTCTATATACCGGTACTACTGACTATATATGTAGTCTATATACCGGTACTACTAACTATATATGTATTCTATATACCGGTACTACTGACTATATATGTATTCTATATACCGGTACTACTAACTATATATGTATTCTATATACCGGTACTACTGACTATATATGTAGTCTATATACCAGTACTACTGACTATATAAGTAGTCTATATACCGGTACTACTAACTGTATATGTATTCTATATACCGGTAGTACTGACTATATATGTATTCTATATACCGGTACTATTAACTATATATTTAGTCTATATACCGGTAGTACTGACTATATATGTATTCTATATACCGGTACTACTAACTATAGATGTATTCTATATACCGGTACTATTAACTATATATATAGTCAGTAGTACCGGTATATAGACTACATATATAGTGAGTAGTATCGGTATATAGACTACATATACAGTTAGTACTACTGACTATATATGTATTCTATATACCGGTACTACTAACTGTATATGTAGTCTATATACCGGTAATATTAACTATATATGTAGTCTATATACCGGTAGTATTAACTATATATGTAGTCTATATACCGGTACTACTGACTATATATGTATTCTATATACTGGTAGTATTAACTATATATGTAGTCTATATACCGGTAGTATTAACTATATATGTAGTCTATATACCGGTACTACTGACTATATATGTATTCTATATACTGGTAGTATTAACTATATATGTAGTCTATATACCGGTAGTATTAACTATATATGTAGTCTATATACCGGTACTACTGACTATATATGTATTCTATATACTGGTAGTACTGACTATATATGTAGTCTATATACCGGTAGTATTAACTATATATGTAGTCTATATACCGGTACTACTGACTATATATGTATTCTATATACCGGTACTACTGACTATATATGTAGTCTATATAGCGGTACTACTAGTTTATATACCGGTACTATTAACTGTATATGTAGTCTATATACCGGTTCTACTAACTGTATATGTAGTATATATACCGGTACTATTAACTGTATATGTAGTCTATATATCGAAACTACTGACTATATATGTAGTCTATATACCGATACTACTCACTATATATGTAGTCTATATACCGGTACTACTAACTGTATATGTAGTCTATATACCGGTACTACTCACTATATATTTAGTCTATATACCGGTACTACTGACTATATATTTAGTCTATATACCGATACTACTCACTATATATGTAGTCTATATACCGGTACTACTCACTATATATTAAGTATAATATCGGTATTTCTAACTGAACATACAGAATACATACCGACGCGTCTAGCTATATATGTCCTAATGTGCAGATTCTGTTGTAATTATCCTATTGTTCAAATAGAAAATTTTGCAGTTGACGATTGTTTAAATGTGATTTCAGGTAGGAAGTTGTATTACATTTGACAATAAAGAGTTGTTTTTTCGAAAATTTATATATATATAGAATATATTGTGTATAATTCGCATGGATATAACTTCAATATATGTATACTTCCTGTAGAACTGAATCATATTATATACATCAAAATATATTTTATTTAAAACAGATTTACAAATATCAGTTTACCATTCGGGTTTTTGGTGGGTTTTTTATGTTGATGTACCATTTTTGAAATAAAATGATATATTGATTCTAACAATAAGCTTGTATACTAACGTTTCTGGATTCTGTTCCTCGTGCAGTTCCTGTATCAGTTCCATCCTCTCTGACTCCTCCGCGTCCTCGTCCTCGTCACTAGGGAGAATCTGAGTCAGGCTCGTTATAGTACCACCTTCCTCAATGGCGGACAACAGCGGCGCACGCGACACCGCTTTCCCTGCCATAGCTTTCTCAATAATCTGTGCGTTTCTTCGATGGGCAGAGACTGTCTCATCTACGTCACACCCATCGGTCACGTTTTCTACGGTAAATCTAAGAGATGAAATTTTCAAAAATGAAATTATATAAGGTGAATTTTAAATATAACATTTTTTTAGGCAACGTATTAATTAATATGTTTGATTGAAACACTGTTCTTATGTTTATTTTCGCGATAAGAAGCTTACTCAAATTTAGTACATTAATACATACATTTATTTCCATATATAGCAATTTTGAAACTGGAAATTGAACACATTTTCTTCAATGTTAACTCCGTGCCAAATAATACCTTTATCAATCTATCTATCTACTTAAAACAATACCTGTATTAATCTATCTATCTACTTAAAATAATACCTGTATTAATCTTATCTATCTACTTAAAATAGTACCTGTATTAATCTATCTATCTACATAATATAATAATACCTGTATTAATCTATCTATCTACTTAAAATAATACCTGTATCAATCTATCTATCTACTTAAAATAATAATACCTGTTTTAATCAATCTTTCTACTTAAAAAAATAAAAGCTGTATTCATATATCCATAAACTTAACATAATAAAAATTTATTAATCTATCTATAAACCTTATATAATAAAAGCTGTATTAATCTATTTATAAACTTAACATAATAAAAGCTTATTAATCTATCTATAAACCTTATATAATAAAAGCTTATAAATAGATTAATAAGCTTTTATTATATAAGGTTTATTAATCTATCTATAAACCTTATAAAATAAAAGCTGTATTAATCTATCTATAAACTTAACATAATAAAAGCTTATTAATCTATCTATAAACCTTATATAATAAAAGCTTATTAATCTATTTATAAACTTAACATAATAAAAGCTTATTAATCTATCTATAAACTTAACATAATAAAAGCTGTATTAATCTATCTATAAACTTAACATAATAAAAGCTGTATTAATCTATCTATAAACTTAATATAATAAAAGCTGTATTAATCTATCTATAAACTTTACATTATAAAAGCTGTATTAATCTATCTATAAACTTAACCTAATAAAAACTTATTAATCTATCTATAAACGTTATATAATAAAAGCTGTATTAATCTATCTATAAACCTTATATAATTAAAGCTGTATTAATCTATCTATAAACCTTATATAATTAAAGCTTTATAATTCATCTATAAACCTTATATAATTAAAGCTTTATAATTCATCTATAAACCTTATATAATAAAAGCTGTATTAATCTATCTATAAACTTAACATAATAAAAGCTGTATTAATCTACTTATAAACTTAACATAATAAAAGCTTATTAATTTATCTATAAACCTTATATAATAAAAGCTGTATTAATCTATTTATAAACATAACATTATAAAAGCTTATTTATATATTCAAAAACTTAACGTAATAAAAGCTTATTAATCTATCTATAAACTTTCCATTTGTATAGTAATTCAAGGCACAAACTTGCTGGGTGTTTATGTTAATTTGTTTTCATATGCTGCCACAGAATAACCATTGAATAGGAATTCTTGAAAGAGCAATACCGGTAAGCAGTTTTATGTAAAAGTATTTTTTGCGATTTTACTCGTCAAGCTGATAAACCGCAAGGTTTAAGGTAATAAAGAATGAATGAATGAGCTATTGGAGGCGTTGCAATTTTCGAGTTAATGCTTCTGAATAAGGCTAATGATTGACATACACCGCCGCACTTATCCCACTCTTATCCCATTATTATCCCGCTCTTATCCCGCACTTATCCCGCTCTTATCCCACTCTTATCCCACTATTATCCCGCTCTTATCCCACTCTTATCCCGCTCTTATCCCACTCTTATCCCACTATTATCACGCTCTTATCCCACTCTTATCCCACTCTTATCCCGCTCTTATCCCTCTCTTATCCCACTCTTATCCCGCTCTTATCCTGCTCTTATCCCACTCTTAACCCACTCTTATCCCACTCTTATCCCACTCTTATCCCACTCTTATCCCGCTCTTATCCCACTCTTATCCCACTCTTATCCCACTCTTATCCCACTCTTATCCCACTCTTATCCCACTCTTATCCCACTCTTATCCCACTCTTATCCCACTCTTATCCCACTCTTATCCCACTCTTATCCCACTCTTATCCCACTCTTATCCCACTCTTATCCCACTCTTATCCCACTCTTATCCCACTCTTATCCCACTCTTATCCCACTCTTATCCCACTCTTATCCCACTCTTATCCCACTCTTATCCCACTCTTATCCCACTCTTATCCCACTCTTATCCCACTCTTATCCCACTCTTATCCCACTCTTATCCCACTCTTATCCCACTCTTATCCCACTCTTATCCCACTCTTATCCCACTCTTATCCCACTCTTATCCCACTCTTATCCCACTCTTATCCCACTCTTATCCCACTCTTATCCCACTCTTATCCCACTCTTATCCCACTCTTATCCCACTCTTATCCCACTCTTATCCCACTCTTATCCCACTCTTATCCCACTCTTATCCCACTCTTATCCCACTCTTATCCCACTCTTATCCCACTCTTATCCCACTCTTATCCCACTCTTATCCCACTCTTATCCCACTCTTATCCCACTCTTATCCCACTCTTATCCCACTCTTATCCCACTCTTATCCCACTCTTATCCCACTCTTATCCCACTCTTATCCCACTCTTATCCCACTCTTATCCCACTCTTATCCCACTCTTATCCCACTCTTATCCCACTCTTATCCCACTCTTATCCCACTCTTATCCCACTCTTATCCCACTCTTATCCCACTCTTATCCCACTCTTATCCCACTCTTATCCCACTCTTATCCCACTCTTATCCCACTCTTATCCCACTCTTATCCCACTCTTATCCCACTCTTATCCCACTCTTATCCCACTCTTATCCCACTCTTATCCCACTCTTATCCCACTCTTATCCCACTCTTATCCCACTCTTATCCCACTCTTATCCCACTCTTATCCCACTCTTATCCCACTCTTATCCCACTCTTATCCCACTCTTATCCCACTCTTATCCCACTCTTATCCCACTCTTATCCCACTCTTATCCCACTCTTATCCCACTCTTATCCCACTCTTATCCCACTCTTATCCCACTCTTATCCCACTCTTATCCCACTCTTATCCCACTCTTATCCCACTCTTATCCCACTCTTATCCCACTCTTATCCCACTCTTATCCCACTCTTATCCCACTCTTATCCCACTCTTATCCCACTCTTATCCCACTCTTATCCCTCTCTTATCCCACTTTTATCCCACTCTTATCCCGCTATTTTCCTTTTTATATATGTTTGAAATAAATAAGCTATACATTTTGCCACGTCATATAAAACCTGTATAGCCTATCTGTAGGAGAATGGAGTTTTCTCCCTCCCTTCACAGGTGTGACTCCCGTTTTAGCCGGGAAAGATCATTAAAATGCGTCGTCGGTAATTGTGACGTCATCAAATGTGTTTGTGACTGAAATAATAGTATGCGAGAAAAAGAATCATCCCCTATCCTGAGGGTGTAACAGAGAAATCTCCTACCTTCGGGTGATTTTTTTTGGTTGCTTGACCCTCGGCAGAGCCTCGGGTTAGACAACTAAAAAACATCACCCCTCGGGATGGAGATTTCTCTGTCACACCCTCAGAATAGGGGAGATTCTATTAATCATTCGTTACTCCTCCAGGTTTACTCCCATTACAATATTATTCGTTTCCCATCTTGTATGACTCCCCACAACCACGACAGTATAATTCGTCTCCCCTCTAGATTTACTCCCCACAGCTGTAACGTATTAATTGGTTTCCTTTCTGACCTTGTCCCCACAATGACGACGTTTTCTCCAAACCTTCACAGGTGTGTCTCCCGTTTTAGCCTGGAAATATCAGCTTGTCACCCCCCAGGGGGAGATAGCTTCGTGCCGATCAGCACGTGTTTAATTGTGTCGTCATTAAAATCCCTTTCAGGCCTTGTCCCGAAAATGACGACGTTATCATTCCGTAACCCTCCGGGATCATTCGTCTGCCCTCTAGGTTTACTACCTATAACTATAAATTCATTATTGGTTCCCCTACCAGTTTTTCTCCACTAGTTCTACTCTCGTCAACAATGACGTTTTACTTCTTTATTACCCTTCTGACCTGTAACGCCATAACCGTGACGTTGTCGTTCGTTTCTCTCTCTCTTTCTCTCTCCTAGCCTATCGCCCACCACCGTGACGTGTTAGTAATTACCCTTCGAGGTCCCTCGCCCGCCTCTGTGAACGAATACGTGACCGATGTAGGCCACGAGGAGGCTGGTCAGGATCGTTCATGAAGTAAGTTAGTGGGTCAAACTGGACGGTACGGCGACTAGTAAAGGACATGAGAGCATGCAAATTCAACAAAAAAATCACTGATACACAAACATAGACATCCTCGTATGACGTGGTACCTCACTATCTCCGATCTCTTATTTTAACGAATGCCTCAGATGCCACATGCTTTTTCAATCACCTATAGCTAGCTTTCCCTTAATGACCATTTTCTATACAGTAAGTCTATATAGCTATGACCAGAAGGCGCTACCCTACCGATAATTACACCGGAAATTTATATCAGAAGGATCTAGATCTACCAATGATTACTGCGGAAACTTACACCAGAACGATCTAGATCTAACAAAAATTACACCGGAAACTTATACCAGAAGGAACTAGATCTACCAATAATTACACCGGAAACATACACCAGAAGGATCTAGATCTACCAATAATTACACAGGAAATAGACGCCAGAAGGATCTAGATCTCCCAATAATTACACCGGAAACTTACACCAAAAGGATCTAGATCTACCAATAATTACACCGGAAACATACACAAGAAAGATCTAGATCTACCAATAATTACACAGGAAACAGACGCCAGAAGGATCTAGATCTACCGATAATTACACCGGAAACATACACCAGAAGGATCCAGATCTACCAATAATTACACAGGAAACAGACGCCAGAAGGAGCTAGATCTGCCAATAATTACACGGGAAACTTACACCAGAAGGATCTAGATCTACCAATAACTGCACCGGAAACAGACGCCAAAGGATCTAGATCTATCAATAATTAAACCGGAATCTTACACCAGAAGGACCTAGATCTACCAATAATTACACCGGAAACAGACGCCAGAAGGATCTAGATCTACCAATAATTAAACCGGAAACAGACGCCAGAAGGATCTAGATCTACCAATAATTACACCGGAAACAGACGCCAAAAGGATCTAGTTCTACCAATATTTACACCAGAAACTTACACCAGAAATATCTAGATCTACCAATAATTACACCGGAAATAGACGCCAAAAGGATCTAGATCTAACAATAATTGCACCGGAAACTTACACCAGAAGGATCTAGATCTACCAATAATTACATCGGAAACAGACGCCAAAAGGATCTAGTTCTACCAATAATTACACCAGAAACTTACACCAGAAGGATCTAGATCTACCAATAATTACATCGGAAACAGACGCCAAAAGGATCTAGATCTACCAATAATTACACCGGAAACAGACGCCAGAAGGATCTAGATCTACCAATAATTACACCGAAAACATACACCAGAAGGATCTAGATCTTACAATAATTACACCGGAAACAGACGCCAAAATGATCTAGTTCTACCAATAATTACACTAGAAACTTAGACCAGAAGGATCTAGATCTACCAATAATTACACCGGAAACTAATTCCCCGAAAATTCTAGATCTACCAATAATTACACAGGAAACTTACACCAGAAGGATCTAGATCTACCAATAATTACACCGGAAATAGACGCCAAAAGGATCTAGATCTACCAATAATTACACCGAAAACATACGCCAGAAGGATCTAGATCTAACAATAATTACACCGGAAACAGACGCCAAAATGATCTAGTTCTACCAATAATTACACTAGAAACTTACACCAGAAGGATCTAGATCTACCAATAATTACACCGGAAACTAATTCCCCGAAAATTCTAGATCTACCAATAATAACACAGGAAACTTACACCAGAAGGATCTAGATCTACCAATAATTACACCGGAAATAGACGCATAAAAGGATCTAGATCTAACAATAATTGCACCGGAAACTTACACCAGAAGGATCTAGATCTACCAATAATTACACCGGAAACAGACGCCAAAAGGATCTAGTTCTACCAATAACTACACCAGAAACTTACACCAGAAGGATCTAGATCTACCAATAATTACACCGGAAATAGACGCCAAAAGGAACTAGATCTACCAATAATTACACCGGAAACAGACGCCAGAAGGATCTAGATCTACGAATAATTGCACCGGAAACTTACACCAGAAGGATCTAGATCTAACAATAATTACACCGGAAACAGACGCCAAAAGGATCTAGTTCTACCAATAACTACACCAGAAACTTACACCAGAAGGATCTAGATCTACCAATAATTACACCGGAAATAGACGCCAAAAGGAACTAGATCTACCAATAATTACACCGGAAACAGACGCCAGAAGGATCTAGATCTACGAATAATTACACCGGAAACTTACACCAGAAGGATCTAGATCTAACAATAATTACACCGGAAACAGACGCCAAAAGGATCTAGTTCTACCAATAATTACACCAGAAACTTACACCAGAAGGATCTAGATCTACCAATAATTACACCGGAAACTAATATCCGAAAATTCTAGATCTACCAATAATTACACCGGAAATAGACGCCAAAAGGATATAGATCTACCAATAATTACACCGGAAACAGACGCCAGAAGGATCTAGATCTATCAATAATTACACCGGAAACTAATTCCCGAAAATTGTAGATCTACCAATAATTACACCGGAAACTTACACCAGAAGGATCTACACTTTCTTAAGATTTCTTAATAGAATCGCTACGATTTATTGGAAGTTCCTGAGAAACTTGTGAATGACGACAGCTTGTTTGTGAATGCACGATAATTGTAAGTATATACACAGTAAGTATATACACAGTAAGTATATATATACACAGGAAGTATATACACAGTAAGTTTATACAGAGTAAGTATATACACAGTAAGTATATACACAGTAGGTATACACAGTAAGTATACACACAGTAAGTATACACACGGTAAGTATATATACAGTAAGTATATACACAGTAAGTATATACACAGTAAGTATA